CCTGAATCAAACTTGACCTACTTTTCATTCTTACCCAGAGCTAGTAGATAAAAGCAGTGGTGAGCTGATGTTTAACAATCAGCTCTCCAGGATAAACAAGCAAACAAACAAAATGCCCTGGTTCTTAGTGTTCGCTGATTTCTGTGGGGTAAATATTTCCACCGTGGCTGAGTTTAAGCTACCAACAGGACGGTGGCGCTGGGAAGGGTGTGCTCTCGGGAGCTGGGATGAGCTGGGTCCAGAGGACCCCTGGGCAAGCTTCGGCGTATGGGGTTGGTCTATGTGGACATCAACATGTACCACAGGACTCTCAGTTCTGCTTCTCCATGCAATGGGCCAGAGGGCCCCAGGAAGAAGCAATGGGCAGCTGTCCTGCAGTGGGTGCTGACCACGCACGGCCTGACATTACATGTGTCTGTTCCGAGGGGAGAAACCACTTGTGTACTGGCTGGCTGGGCCGTTCACCCTGGACCCCTCAGGCACAGATGGCAGAGATTCTTGGCAATAGAACTTTCCAGGGGGAGGGAATGCTCCCGCAGGCATGCTGGGCCGAGAGCTAAGCACACAGGAAGTTTTCCAGATTGCAACTATAAATCCAAGCTCTGGCCCAGACTGGTAGCTCAGTCGGTTAGAGCATTGTCCCAATACGCCAAGGTTGTGGGTTTGATCCCCAGTCAGGGCACATAGAAGAAACAACCAATGAATGCATAAGTAAGTGGAACAACAAACAGAGGTGTCTTTGTCTCCTTCTGTCTGTCGTTCTCCCTCCCTCTCTCTCTCTCTCTCAAATCAATAAAATAAAAATTTAAGTCCCAACTCTAACTTGGTGAGTTACAGTGATGAATTACATTGACTTCTTAAAAAAAGTGAAATAAGCCAGTCAATGAAGGAAAAATACCACATGATCTCACTCATTCATGGATAATAAAGACCATTATAAACTTATGAACAATAATAGATACAAAGGCAGAGCTGCCTCAAACAGATTGTCAAACTGCAGCGGGAAGGCCGGGGAGGGTTGGGGGGCAGGAGGGAGGGGAGTAAGAGATCAACTGAATGACTTGTATGCATGCATATAAGCATAACCAATGGACATAAGACACTGGGGGGTAGGGGACGCCAGGGGATTGTCAAGGGCGGGGAAAAAAAGGAGACATATGTAATACTCTTTGTAATACTTTAAGCAATAAAACAATAAAAAAAAAAAAGAAAACCTCTGGGATGAATGAAGCTACACGTATATATTTGAATTGGTTGAAAAGGTGACCACCCAAGCTGATCCTAGACCAGAAGTTCTTAGCCCTGGTTTCATGTTAGAATCACCTGGGAAGCTTTCAGAATTCACCTATGTCCAGGGCAAACCTCTGACCAATCAAATCAGAGTGTCTGGGATGGCGGGCGGGGGCAGGGCATGCCTATTTACAAAAGGGCAGCCAGGGTTTGGAACCTCTGCTCTAGACAATGGCCCACCCTCCTCCTACCAGCTGCATTTTCAGTGTTCCATTGTATGCATCCCACATTTCTAAAATTATACACATTCCAACAAAGGTACTCACACTTATCCACTGGTTAAATTTAGCTGCCGCGGAGAGAAACGACAATTCCTTATTCATTTCGTGGGAGGGAGGGAGAGAGGGAGGGAGAGATGAGGGAGAACATGAGAGAAGGAACAATGAGAAGCACAATCCCAGCACATTTCTGGGGAGCCAGCACCAAGCCTTCCCAGGCTGGGCTCCCTTTCCCTGCCAGCCTCCTTGACCCGACAGGAAGGGGCCCCAGCTAGTGGAATCTCCGTGTTGCCAGAGCTGCTCATTTCTTTCAGGCTCAGTGGTTCTGTTGTCCTCTCTATCTGAGGCAGAGAAGTAATTCTAGAAACTCCAAATGGAACAACAGCCTGAAGGTCACAGAGCTCAGTAAAGACCTCCCCACCCCCGCTTTCAGAGCCAGTGTTGAGTAGTGGCTTGGAACATGGAACCAAAGTTCCTTAGGCAAGTGACTTCATTTCTCTGGGCCTCAATGTTCTCATCTGTAAAATGGGGATAAGGAAAGCTCCAACTCATAGGGCCGATGTGTGAATTGGAGGAGTTACTGTTTTTAATGTTCTTAGAATAGAGGCTGGCATGCAGGACGTGCTCCTTTGTAATGTATCCCAGGATATTTACTAATGAACATATATATTGAACCACCACAACCGGTCCCAGGATGGAATGCACAGAGGGTATGGGATACAAAAGGGAAGAGATGGCTTCTGCGTTTGTTCTGGGGGAGTGAAGACTTGGAAAGATAGCAACAGGGCCAGCAGGTCAGTACACTGGATTGTGATAGAGTAACGAAAGCTCTGGACTTGGAGTTAAAAAAGACCGGGTTCTTTCCCTGAGCCGGCCGTTCCTAGCTGTGTGATCTTGGGCAAGCCGCTGCACTGCTCTGAAAACTTGTGTCTAATCTGAACAATGACTGTGGTGATGGCTTACACCTGGGATCATAAATATTATATGCGCTAATGTATGGGAGAGCATTTTAAAATATCAAATGCCAGGCAAACGGCAATAACCATGATAATATGCAAATTTCATAAAGACAGTACATCTCAGAGCTGTCGCAATGTCTTTTAGAAAGTAGCTGAGGCTAATAAGTTAGTAGATACCTGTTAAAAAGTAAATTAGTAAACAGACAAGTACAAGAGCTGAGATGCTCATGTCCTTCCTTAAAGGGGCTGCTTTGAGGGAGAGGAGGGCACGAGTTGGACCTGAACTGATGGCAGGAAGACCAGAGGCTGGGTCTGCGGGAGAGGGGTCAGAGCCGGCATGGAGCCGAGAAAGCCGCAGCTGAGCTCAGGCTAAGCCCGGCTACTTGCAGGAAAGGTGAGTTGAGCCCATGTGAAGCTGCCCGGAGTCCCAGGCTGAGGACTGGGACTTCATCTTGTTTTCTGCGGAAGCAGGGGGCCAGGTTTTAGACAGCGTGGCCCATGGACAGTGCAGAGAAAACGCTGGGTCTGTGCTCCAGGGTCTGGGTGTCAGGAGACAGCCGCTGCGCCCCACTGGGTGAGCAGAAGGAACAGTGTGAAGTGAAGGGTGGAAAGGACCATGAACAGGCCAATAGGCCCAGGGTCCGATGCCTCAGCCAGCCTCGGGAACCAGGACGCAGGCCTGAGGGAGACTCTTGGTTTGGGCAAAGTGCAGGTCCAATGGGTTCAGCTGAGCAGAGGGACAGAAACCAAACTGCAGGGAATTGAACGGAAAGTAAGTGATGAGAAAATTCATCCATTTACTCTATTTCTCATTTCAACAAACCTTTATGAACAGTGGGAGTGAAGCAGGGAACAAGGCAAAGACCTGCCCCCACGAGTTTGCGGTCCAATGGAGGGAAGACAGATACATGTATGCAGTCACAATTCCGTGAGACATGTACTACACTGAGAGAGTCCTCTCCACTGGTGGTGAAGCGCGTGGGCTCTGCACTGGACAGGCATGGGCTGGATTCCTCACTTAGCAATGGAGGGGCCCGCGGCAAGTTTCCTTAGCCTCTCAGTTTCCTCCACTATAAAATGGGCATAATCATGGCAGCAACCTCAGAGGTTGCTGTGAGTTTTAAATGGGGTGCCTGCATGTTAAAGACTTAGTAAGATGCCTGGTATACAGAAGGCATTCACACACACACACACACACACACACACACACACACACACACGCCAGATGTGGTCAGCGCAGGGTGCTCTGGGTACCAACATGGGGCACTCAAACCAGACAGGAGCACACGGAGAGCTCAGCAGACGCCGGTTAGTTGTCCATTTGGGAAGTTTGGGGATGGCAAGAGGTAGAATGAACAGGAAAAGAAGCCAGGACTGCTTGGTACACAGCAGGGGTCAAATAAAAGCTGGCAACCTTCAGCCTGTGGGAAACGTGTGACCCCCGAGGCACCTATACCATCTGGAAGAAGCAGTTTGCTTCCTCTAAAATCTCCTGGGATTTCCTATGAAATCACTCGGTTTGCACAACTCTGGAAGGCACCCCAGCTAAGAGCCTTTACAAAGATCTGTGTCTTGATCATGCTATACCAGGGTTCATCTCAGAGGACTTACCACGGCCGCGCTTCCATAGCACAGAAAGCCGTCACCTTCATAGCCTTCTCCACAAACACAGCTCCAGACGCCAGAGGTGAACTGACAGGCTGCCTGATGAAACGGAGATGGGAAAAAAGGGCTTACTTTCCTACATGAAGAGTTAGAAATGAGCTACATCCATGAGTCATAGGCTCCAGCTAAGGTAGAACTGCAAATTTGGGGTAGAAGGATGGTGGGAGTAACCTGTAGGCCCTTCCATGTTGCAATGAAAGGCCCTGGTCTGCATGTCCCATGCAGCTCTCACTTAGTCTCTCTTGACATCTCTGCCGGATTTAGCAAGTACAAGCAAGGACACATAGCTCACTGGAATTTCAGATACACAAATGTGTTTTAGTAGAAGTATGTCCCATGCTGCATTTGGGGGCAAACTTGTGATGGAAAAGGATTCATTGAGTATCTGAAACTCAGAGTCCTGTATTGCATCTGGTAATCAGATGTTGGTTCTTCCAAGCTTTGGAGTAATGAAGTATAAGTTATAATAACTACTTCTATTCTGCTTAGGGACACCCTTTGGGAGTAAGAGAGACTTTGCTCAATTCTTGGCTCAGGTAAGAAATAACCTAATTTTCTTTCTCAAAAAAAGTGTTTTTTTTTGTAAGGATAAAATAAATCCAGAAACTCACCAGGGGATGACATTTCCCAGTTTGTTCCAAGCAGGAAGTTATTGGTTCACATTCAATGCCATTGCCTCGAAATCCAGTCTTGCACTCACACTCATTCTGCAATTCCAAGCACAGAGGCACAGGGGGTTATGGAAAACAGCTGCCTTCCCTGTCATGTGGTGCTGAACAATGAACTATGGGAACCAGAGCCGTTTGGCTAGGGAACAGCGTTAATGGCTTTCGGTATTTTTTATACTTCAGATTCCAGAGCTGTTGGTCATCCACATTCCACACGAAATGTCTCAATCTGATAGTTCCTTGGCACTTTCATTTTGAATGTATTACCCCAGAAGGGCCACTTGGAGAGTCTCAGAGAACTCAGACTCTCAAGAGCATCCCACTAGACAAATGGGCCCCTCCGTCTCAGAGGGAAAGGTGAAATAAGCCACAAGTTTCCACTTGGCGCAGATCCATGCACAGGGCCATTGCTGGGCTAGGAGG